TGCACAAGTTACATGCAAATGCTGGCATTTTAGATAAAGAACTTAAATTTTCACAGTAAGGTTTGGGGGTGGGGGTCTAGAATAATTGCTTGCAGAATCAAGGAATGATTATGTATTGATGTTGTTAGACTATAGAGCATGCGCACACATATGCATGCACACACACAAACACATATAACGGAAGTGTTACAGAACCACTCTCCTGATCTGTGAGTTAGTCTGATATTTTTGCCCTGCTCCACTTTTTTTAAATTTTTTTAAAAAATATTTATTAGTTGTGACCATCTCCATATGGAGAAGGGAAGTGGAAAGACAGGGAAGGGAGGTGGCGAATGAAGCAGTGGGTTCTGTTCCATAGAGGGTGGCTGCAGTCTCTAGACAAACCTATGTGCCACAAGTGGGCTGCAGTGTTAGCGGCACCTCGGAAGCAGAGGTCAGTAAGACAATCTCAAAAACACACAGTTATCCAGGCCCAACTATCAATGGTGATGTTTAGAGAAGAAAATAAAAATAACAAAGCAAAGCGTACATTATAAAGTTTATGAACAACATTCCAAACTGTGAGAATAACATCAAGTTGATAAATTCAGAGACACTATAGCATCAACATTAATAATTTATCTCAATCAGTTTTTGGTTAACTAGATGAACACAAATCCGGTAATTAATTTAACATTCTAAATGGTAAATATATCACATTGAACTAAAAAAATAAGTGTTACAAGACAAATTGTGCACAGAAAAGAATCAGTGTATAGAATAAATGACTCTTCGGAAGACTATGTATCTAGTAATTTTATTGTTAATTTCTTGAGGTGAGAAAGAATGCTATTTACCTCTACATTCTCCACTGGATCCAATCCAACACCTTCTAAATAATAGGCACGGAAAAAGTTCTTGGCAGAAAAATGAGAAATAGATGCTTTACATTTACTGAAGCATTGAATTATATCTCAAAAGTCCACCTCACCAATTAAAAATAAACAGTTAAACACAGGGCAAACCCTGGAAGAGCTAAAATCAACACAATCCACATAACCACGGTTACATTTTCACTACGATCACTGGAGAATCCTCTTGTAGAATTCTTGACTACCACAGAACATAAAATAAGCAATCTAAAGCTATTAGTTACTTACTAGTTATCCATTGTGTGTATGTTTGGATAGTTTCGCTTTATTTCTTTAGTAATCAAATTACAAAAAAAAATGCTATTATTCTTATTCACAGATTTATAGATAAGGACTTAGACCTAAGAGGTTTAGATCTATTTATTCTAATATATGGTTGTCTTGTCTGAATGTATGTATGTACATCACATGTATGCCTGGTGCCGGCAGAGGCCAGAAGAGGACATAAGATAACCTAGCTCTGATTTTCAAAGGCTTGTAAGCCAGCAATGGGTGATGAGAACAGACTTGGGTCCTCTATGGGAACAGCTGAACATCTCTCCAGCCCCGACACGGAGAGTTTTAAAAAGCAGAAAAAGATTGTATTCTAAGTGAAGGACACAACCATGAACTCTTAGACTAAACTAGGGATACACTTTCTCTTTAATATCCCTTTCACTTTTAAGCAAATAATTAAAAAAAATCACTAATGGGTTATACTTATTAACATGACTTAACAAAATACACTAATCAAAATGACAATGAGTAAATATGGGTGAAATTCCATGTATTTAAAATAGTGTAGTCTAACCTAAGTAGTGTATAAATGTCAAAAGAATTTCTGTATTAATTAAGTCTAGGAAGGAAAAAACAGTCAAGCCAAAAGGAAAGCAAGTTTTTAAAAAAAAAAATCAAAATCAAGACTTGTTTTGAACTGAAAGATGAATATCATTAAAACAGCAAGAAATAGTTTCTATGTGGGAGACACATACCAAGGCTTGGGAAGAAGCCTTTTTTCTGCAATGACAGAGTTTATGTTACATATACATTATTAGACAAAAAATTAAATTATACTACTTGGCCCAAACTTGTTTTGCAAAGATAAGAGTTGGTATTATTTTAAAAAAAAAATGAAACGCAACAGGTAAATAAATACAACGAGCAGACTAGCTGTCATGTCAGACTAGCTGTGATGTCAGACTAGCTGTGATGTCAGACTAGCTGTGATGTGAAACAGTCCTTGGAACTCGTTACCCGGGGGCGGCAAAAACAAGGATGGTTCTTTTTGGAGATTTTCCTGATCCTCATCAGAATGACAGCTTCACAAAAGCTTCTGATAAAAAACTGTGTTCCGAGGCTGCTAATAACCCTCTGATTGTTGGGGATGCCATGCACCCGCTGACGCACAGGTGATGATGCAGTAAGATCTTGGATTATGTTTATAAAGTGCTTACTTCGCCATCTGATACTTTTCATGAATAAAAACATCACTATAATGACTCAATGTCGAGAGAGGACACAGGCGTCTTCTCAGAGATGTCCAGCCTCAGCATTTCTTCCCACTACTCCACTCTTAAAGAACCATGCAGCAGGCAAAGCTAACTACTTCTGTTTCTCCTACTGAACTTGAAAGTATTGTTGTGCCTATGAGGTGTCTATTAGCAGGAATCATACTTTGCAGAACAAACCGTTAGGTAAGCAATAAGTCGGGCCCTGTACGAGAGAAGTCTGAAGACAGCATAGTGAGACAGGAAGTTTCTTCCCATGTATGATGCGCTTTGAACTTGTGCTTATCTGTATCATGTATAAGTTTAACAAGCACAGAGTTACTTTACGGGAGTTTTAATGTCACTGCTTTAGAACCATAGGACATAATACCCCTGCATGCTGTCACTAGCCTCTTCCAGGCTCTACAGTGAAGCATCTCTATGAGTTTTGGTAAAATATGTTCTTGTTTGGCAAATGAAGATGTTATTTTAGCAAAGAATAAGCAAACTAGAGGGAATAGGAACCAAACCACCAAAAACAAGCTTTCATAATAAATACCCTATGAAATGTGGAAAATCACCATTATTAAATATACTTAAAGCGTGTTTTTCAATGAAACTGAAATTTCTACATATTCTTTAATGAAACTGACTGCGCCCTACAGTTCTCTTTAGAAGTCACACTTCTATTAACTCAGTTCGCTCAAGGACCACAAATGAAAGTAACAATTATGAAATGTGTTGTATCTTATTTTTTCCATTGTATGTGCATTTCCCAGACCTATTTGTTTAAAATTTCATGTCCTCTTTTGCACAGTAGTGCTTTTAGACAGCAGTATTCATGACTTTCTAAAATACTACATTAAGTCCACTCATCTGTCCATTTTTCTAGCAAGCCACACTTGCAATTACTTTACTTGGTTTGTGTCTAGTCAAGTGACTTCTCCCTACAACACCTGGCTATTTTCCCACAGCTGTTAGATGTATAAAACAGGGCACTGGAAACCCCAAGTAAGACTGTGGCTGCGATCAACCTCATGACATGGTTCGGTACATTTCATTGTAGTATTTTGTCTTCCTGCATAATAAGAGGAAAGAACTTCTGTTCTTACTTTGTTATGAGGAAAATTTTATCATATTTCCTGCAAATAACAACATGTTTTGACAATTATTTTTAATCACATTTTTTGGTTTTAGTTTTAGGTAAAAAACTACTTTTGATTTGTATTTTCTAATTACTTATGCTACAGTATAAAATCACTATATAAATTTTATATGACTTATAATTTTATATGACCTGGATTCCTCTACTTATTACTATTGATTATTCTAAAAAAGAAAAGGACAATCTGCTAAACATCATGACATAACTGGAAGGAAGGAGAAGCAGAAGTTGATATGAAGAATTCATATCAGATACTCACCAATCTAATATACTTCATTACATATCAAAATAAATTCCAGGGGAAAAAATTATGGTTAAAAATAATGTTAAGGGGAACATATATATCTAATTATATAATAGATTTGGAGATGAATGGAAAGTGTTTAAGGATGGGCATAATGGAAAAATATCAACAAAGAAAACTCAACTGCAGCTGTACTAAGCATGCTATCTCCAAATGATCAAAGGAAATTAATAGACAACCATCCAAATAGGAAATAAATTTAACAAAATAACACATAATTAGAGACAAATTCTACCACAAAAAAACAACTCATAAATTAATAAGAGAAAACTAGAACATCCAGAAGAAGTAGATAGGAAGAATTAAGGGATGAAGAGATGACTCATATCACAATAAAATTAGATAAAATTCAGATAATGAGATGTGGTATTTGCGTGGCCCATTCGGGAGACAGAAATTGGGTGATATAAAACAAAAAGTTCAAGCACATATGAAAATAGCACAGAAAATGCTAAGAACCTTTCTGGAAAGCAACTGTAAAATATGAATTAAAGTATAAAATCAAATATTCACACACATACAGAGAGGGGCAGGCAAACATTATACGTAAAGATCAAGACAATATTGTTTACATAACATTTAGAATACATTTCTATACCTCAAACAAGTAAATACCATGATATATTCTTATGATAGAACAAAGTGCAGTCACTTAAGTTTCTAAAGAATATTAAATGACTTGAAAATAAGACTATATGGCAGCAATTGAAAAACACGAAGCTATTTAGAGTATGATACTAAATTTATAAATCTGAAAACTCTACTTTCAGAGAAAAGGGACTGAAACCTAAGGACAACAGCAGTTCTTTCTTAGGAAAGGGGTAAGGTGCTAGTTTATTCTTTAAAATACTTTGAGCGATATTTCAAATGTTCTATCATGAACACATTCCTACTTTTATAAATATTACAAAAGCTGTTACTTTTCAAGCTAGAACTAATAAGTTTGTGTTCATGTGCCTTCTAATAACGCAAGGATGCCTTCACGAAACTCAAGAAGGTGTTTTTTAAAACGACTTTTTTATACAAGGATAACAAGGCACGCTGTTCTTGTAGGATTTTTCTCACGTGGCCAACGCCTTTAAAATACTTGAAGACAAGCAGAACGAGCTCCGGAAAGAAGGCTCACTCTGCAGGGCACGCGTGGCAGAGCTTACCTTTCTCACTCACGCTCTCGCTCTCGATCTCAACATCGTCACAACTCGTGTACTCCGGTGTGGACGCCAGTTCCTCCTCGGAGCTGCTCAGCGAAACCTGGCGCATTTTACCTCCTTTCTTGGATTTATGAGGCTTTGGTGGCGGGGGCCTCACTGACTCCGACTGGTCTGAACTCAGAGAATCATTCCTTAACATGGTTTCCATTTTTTCCCGTTTCGTTTTCCTGACGGCAGAGCTGGGATCTAAGTGGTGCTGCTTCCGCAGAGAGTCGGCGCGCCGCATGTCCAGTCTATCGACCGGTATAGGGCTCCGCCGGGGAGTGGGGGGGCTGTGATTTGTGGTCCTTTGTGGATAAGCACTGTGTCCCTGAGCCTCTCGAGTTCTTTCCATTGAATAGGATCGTTGATTTTCCATCGCAGCTCTCCGTTCAGAGACAGATCTTTGCCTTGATGGTCGATCCATCCTTAGCAGAGAAATCCTGGAATCTTCTAGTTCAGCATTTGCCAAAGACACATCACTGTGCCTTCTCTCGTGTCGTGCTCGGGACACTTCCGCGTGGATGCGCATTTGTTCTTCATAGGGCTGAGGCTTTACCGGATACCGGGCCAGATTCGGATCGCTTCTGTAGCGCGCCTGGTACTCCTCCTCCCTCCTCTGTCTTTCATACTCGTCTCGGCTCTCCACATCCTCGTCGTCTACAAGATACTCTTTGGAATGTCTATGGCCTCTCCTGGTAGAATCCCTATAATTTAAATGATCAGGTTCTTCATAAAACTGAGGTTCATGTTGAGATTGTCTATCAGCATAATCTGATGGCGATCTGGGCATTGTGCTGTCTGAAGGGACATACTGTGAATACTCCTCTCTCTCTTCACTTTGGTCGTATCTTCGATTTTGATCCCTGGACACTGATGGACTTCTTTTCCTAGAAACCAGAGAAAAAGACTCTGAGATGACATTTAAGCAAGTTACACTTCACAGGTTCACTGACAGGGGGATGCATACATTTAGGTAGACAGATCATTTCTTTTGTCTTGTGAAAACACAGCTTAAAAATACTATAATATTATAATATTAACCGACACAATACCGTGTGTGTATGTGTGCCTAGGTATGCACATTTGGCATGCAATCAATTACATTCTATAGAACATTTAGTTTACTCTGGGTATTATTTTCATACAAATGACTAAAGAAAAGAGCCCATTATGATAAGTGTATATCATGAAAATTATACTATAGATACAGGATCTGAATTTCTTAGTTATACTTATTGCGCCTAATCTCGGAGAGTCTGTATTTTCAAATAAGAGACTTGGATTATACACTTAACTGAGATTATTTTAGTTGCACACTGAATCATTGATTAGGAACACATAAATGAATACAGCATTATTATCCCCAATTATCATCATGCCGAATGATCCTAAGGAAGTACAATCTTATAACATCAATACCAAAGCTTCATCAAGCTAATTTGTTTAAACAAAAGCCTTAAGTATTATGGATTTCCAGCAGAATATTATCAAATCATGCTTAAAACAATTTTGTTCCTACATTGAGGAAACAATATGAAAGTTTTGAAAATAAGTATAAGGTGAATAATCTTAGCAGAGGATCCTAACTGCAAACAACAAATAAAAAAATTACCTCCCATATAGAATTCAGCTCCCAAAGAAAGATAAACAGTCAGTCCCTGGCTAAAACAGCTGTTTTTCTAATCATTCTATAGGAAACATAAATTCAATATCAAACTAGTAATCATTTTGTTGTAGAGATTATGAAATATCCCTAAGGCATCTGAATCATGGTATATATGCTCCTTTCTATTGGGCTTAAGTAAGGTGGAATAGTGGTTGAAATCTGAAATTGGGAGAATTATTGGTCCTGATGCTTAAAATAAAACTTGAAGTACTACAGTACACTTTAGTATATTAAAACTCTACCAAAAGTCAGGTAACATTCAGTTGTAAGATTCTTGAAAGTAAATAATCTACTATCAGTTACTCTGACATATTAATTTTGGGAAAAGAAAATATATACTAAGTACATCATGAATCATTTCATACATACTGTCTTTTAAATTTTAAAATTTCAGGAAGTAAAGAAACTCCATCAAAATTCAAATATGCCTATCTGGACACTGGTTTCCAGTCTGCACAGATATATCTAATCTGAACATTGGTGTCGAGACTGCACAGATATGTCTAATCTGGACGTTGCCTGCACGTTTCTGTTATTCTCAGGAAAAAATGACAAGCAAAATAAATGATAATGTGTGTTTCTCTAAAAGGATAATAAAGCATATAATAACATTCAACCATAAGTCATAATTCAAAGCAATTAACCTAGGAAGTTCTGAGTTAATCATTCAAAGATTCTGAGAAATTAAGAACCAAAAGTACACTTTTTCCCAATTTTCCACTTCCATCTGTTTATTCCTATTTCCTGATATCATCATATCAGCACATACTTAAATTCCCCGTTTCTACTCACCTACTTTTCAGTATTAAGCCTGTATGACTGTATTAACGTAATGTCAGCCCACTAACATGAAACACACCTGAGAGAGCCTATGTCTGTCTCCTGCACAGGGCAGCATTTCCGTCTCAGTTGCTGAGAACTGCTAGTCAGGCAGACAAACTTCCCAGCCTATTTCTAAACACTCTGTTGTACAATGCGCCAGATGTTCCATTATAAATCTTTATCTAACTATGCATGATAATTGAGTAAGAAATATGTCAACTATTTAAAACTTTATGTCTGGAAAACCATGGTGATGGATGAGAAAAATGCCAAAAAATATATTGTTTCAAATTCGTTACTTTTCTAATATCCCAGAGGCAGTTTCAGTTTATATATTGCATATTAATTTTTCCTGCTATTATTACAATTTCCACTGGCTTTCTTCACTGGCTGTGGTAATGATACCAGAATAATACTGACCATGTTTACCAGTTAATATCAAACCTCTGAAAATAGGGCAGAAGACATATGAAAACATTTATAAGGACAGTAAGAGAATGCATGAAAAGATAAGTCTTAAAATATTTTTAACTCTTAACTAATGATACAGAAAACTTTTAAGAATCTTAGTGATGCTGAATGTCATTATATAAATTTGAATTTTACAGTACAACAACTTAGCACTAGCTATATATTCCAATAAAAAAATCTTATTGGTAAAGATCATTTAATAACTATTTTATAAAAAATTATATTGAGTCACATTAAAAAATAGAAACAAGAAACTACCATCATTTTACATTCAATAACTGGCATTTTAAAAATGAAAGACTATGCAGCTGACATTCAAAAATTCCAAAATTTGAAACGATACCTCCATCTTTTAAAATGCTTTATGAAACATGGAATTTGCAAATTTGAATGAAAATAATACTTCACGAATACAATTTTAAAGCTGACTATATAGTTTAGATTAAATATTGCAAAGTCAAAATTCAAAGCTCTTAAACTAGGGTACATCATGAATCTAACCAAATCTGTGACCATGTGGAGCATGCAGTATACACGACCCATGCCTACAGTTCCTCTTCTAAAAACAAAAAGAGTCAATTTATATTTGTAAAAAGCATGAAAAATGTTTACACATCATAATAATATTTAGCATTTTTATTTTTACCTTAGTTCTACCAATGCACATCTGTCAGGCAAGAGTCATCAGGCTGACGAAAACACATCAACATTACGCCAGGCAGTGCATTCTCTTAATCCTTCCAGCCCCAGCAGAATCCCAGGAGCCATCCTTAATCAGATGGCTTGAAAGACTCTTGGCTTGTGATCATTTTATTACAAACCTCGACTACTGAAAGTTAAGCAGCATTCACTCAAGGAGGAAGCCACAAAACACTGCAGCGAGGGACGCGCAAGGCCAGGTTATTTTGACGCTGTCTCTGTGTGGCTGTATATAGCTGCAGGTCAAGCGAGAATGTACCCTGAGGAGGATTACGGTACTTAGCTGATTACGGCTTCACAACACTGAGCCAAAGGCAATCCGGATCCAAGGCATTTCTGGTCGCTATACTAAAAACTGGAGCACTACAAATTTACAAACCACTTCCCTTATAGAAATTATACTCCTTTGAAAATGACAGAATTCAGTGTCATTAAAACTGATTAATAATTCTGCTCTTTAGCTTTTTTCACAAAACAAGCCCATTTTGTAACTCTTTTCAGTGTTTAACTATGTTTTGAATCTAAAAAGACAATGTTACACCCCCCAAAATTTAAAAAGAAACAGGTGTTATGTAAATTCATAATTTTAAGAAAAAGTGCTATGCCAGGTGATAGTGGCGCACACCTTTAATCCCAGCACTCGGGAGGCAGAGGCAGGCGGATCTCTGTGAGTTCGAGACCAGCCTGGTCTACAAGAACTAGTGCCAGGACAGGCTCCAAAGCCACAGAGAAACCCNATATAGTGCTGTGTGAACTAAGAAGCTGGTTAGACACTGAGTATAAATCCAGTTTGGTTCATTTAACTTATAATCTAAACATGGCCCATCTCATTGTCTAAAATCTTTTACCTCCCAAAATAAAGACAAAACAGTAGTTTCCTTACAGTCAAAACCTAGTTATTTAAAAGCTAACATTATACTTTTGAAAAATTGCATCTAAACAACTCCAAATGACTTCTCTAATATATGAATAAGGCAATGTTTGGGGTCTGAGTAAAGAGACAGCACAGTTATGCTATCTGTCAGGCTCTCAATCACTCGGTTTAGACGACAGTCTAGGGACATGAGGTAGCACAATTCAATCAGCTCCATTATTCATCTACAAAATTTTCTTCTAGAATTAAGTTAGGTCTTAGAAGCATTGTGGGATAAGTAAAGATAATAGAGTGATTCTCTCTCTTTTTTTTTTTTCTCTTACATTTGTTTTTGTTTGGTTGGTTTTTTTGTCGTTGGGTCTCTCTACATAAGCCTGGATGTCCTGGAACTCACTATGCAGATCAAGTTGGAACTCACAGAGATCAACCTGCCTCTAACTCTCTAGGGTTTGAGGGTTTGAATTAAATGTGTGCCAACACACCCATCAAAGTCGTTAATAAAAACCTGTAAGATATCTAAGATCTGTAGAATCTTCCAAAAGAAAGGAATAAAAGTTCAATAGAATTATTTTCCAAAAGAATGTTAACTAATGATAAAATACAACCAAATTGAGTCCACAGCTCATATCAAATAAAACAACCAATTTCCCCAAAGTATATTTTGCTTCTTCCAAATTTTAAACCCTAGAAAATTTCAGTCATTCCAATCGACAGATTACTATCAAACTTCCTTCTTATTTGCTGTATCTTCCACCCTCTTTTTCTTACTTTCCTCTTTAGGCAAATCAGGTAGGGTTTCACTGTGTAGCCTAGGAGTCCTGCCCTCCCTTCCTGACTGCTCCACACCAGGACACAAATTGCTGGGCAACCCAGCCCTCCCTTAGAGACACTCTTCAAGTCTTTGCCCTGCTCTGGATTTCTCAAGAAGGCGGGGCCTGACCACCCTATTAAAGAAGTCAACTGCATCTTCCTTACAGGGTCTCAGTTAAGCTGCTCGTCTTTTCATGTCTTTAGTCACTTACAGTCATCTAATTATGACAATTAAAAAACTATAACATTTCAGATATGAATACTTATCATCTGTCTTCATATACTAAAGCATGAATTTTAGTAGTAGGGATTGTCGTTTTGGTCAGGATATCCCAATATCAAAAATACAAAAAAACAATTCAATATTTACTAAGTAAAATAAGTATAGGGACATTTCATACTATGGTAAAAAATAAATATATTATGTAATTAATAGCTTTTCTAAAATATAATTTTTGCAATTTTCTCTCCCAGGCAGAACCTGTAGACCAGCTCTGACAATCAGTGCACACCTGCCATGGTGAGACCCAGGAGCCAGCAGTCTC